CAGATCACTATATCCAAGAAATAAATAAGCTAACTTTCAACTTTATTTGAGCAGGAAAACCCCCTAAAATAAAAAGAAACACCATAACTAGAGAAAAGAAAGATGGCGGTTTGAAAATGTGCGATTTTAATATCATGGAAAAAGCACTCAAAATAGCTTGGGTCAACAGAATTCAAGATGACTCACAAGCCTCCTGGAAAATTATTCCTAACCAGCTCTTACACAAACATGGTGGTCTTGCTTTTCTAACAAAATGCAACTTTACACCAAGCACACTAGACCTCGATGATAAGCTTCATGCATTTTACAAAAAAGTGTTAGATTATTAGTGCGAGTTTAAAATCTCAACGGGCATCGATTCCAAAACAAATCCTAAGAACGAGATAGTGTGGAATAACAGAAAAATTTTTCTAGGAAAAAAAGCTGTCTTTTACCAAACTTGGTATGACGCCGGTATTACTAAGATAAGCGACATTTTAAACCAAAATCAGAAATTTTTGAAGTGGCATGAATTTGTCACAAAATTTAATTTAAATGTGCCTTTCACCACATACTATGGCTTGGTCAACGCAATCCCAAAAGACTGGAAAGCTAATCTTACAAACCCTATTCCAAACGTCACACACGCGAACATTACTGTAAACAGCCTAAGAACCAGTTCTATTTACTCTTCTCTTTTAAACACTGTCTTTGTTCCTCCAACTGCCGAAACCAAAATTCTACGCCACGGATTTACAAAAACTACCATCAAGAACGTTTATCTTATGCCATTTAAAGTTACAAACGAAGTTAAAATAATTATGTTTCAGTATAAAGTGATTCATAACGTGCTTCCAACTCGCGCCACTCTTTACCGAGACGGCATTTCAGAGAGCCCCTTATGCAACCTATGCAATACAGAAAAACAAACGTTGCATCACCTATTAATAAACTGCACACTAATACTCGACTTCTGGATTCTGTTTCAAGACTGGTGGCACCAAAAAACAAATGAAACAATAACGTTATCCGCAAGTCATATACTCTATGGCTGGCATTATAGGACAAAGCATTGGCAAGTCCTAAATTATTGCCTATTGTTAGCCAAATATCACATTTTCTGCACAAGCCTTTGCGGAAACATCTTAGATTTTCAAATCTTCCTACTGTTCATCACGGGAAAACTTGAAATCCTAAAAGAGATCGCGACCACAAAAAAAGAACTTCCGAAATTTTATCGCACGTGGGCTTTTTTACTTTAATTTTTCATGCTGCTGTTGTTTTAGGTTAGACTTATACTTAATTTCATAAATACTTGTTTAAGCTATATCAAAAGTAAATATCCAAAGAAATGTAGCATTTTTGTGACCTGTATGTTTACTTGTGATTGTCTTTTAATTGAAAAGAACTTTGTAAACACGCCAACCGTAAATTAAATTAATGTTAATAGTATTGTAATACATGTATCGTAATGTAGTGTATGCATAATTAGTGTAAGTATAAGGATCAGTAGTGTAAGTAGCAAGTACAATGTAAGTGTAATTAATACTGTAAGTAGTGTAAGTGATCGTCTTGTAAATAAAATTGTCAAAAAAAAAAAAATTCCATACACCTTTCTACAAAATAAAACTATAAGAATCGTGTGGCAGACAGCCAGAAGATTTGATACTGAGATCCTGGTACTGGAAGGGTTAAGGGTAGTTCACACGGCTCACGCTGCACTGAAGAATCTATTGAGCATTGAACTAGATTTATTTTTTAAATTTAAAGTATTTCGAGTCCTTCACGCGCAAATATTATCAATAGGACAATTTGGTTTTAGAAACCGAGTTGATAAAACCAAAATTATCTTGTTATACTCCCCAACCGACGAGGCACCACAAGATTTCTTAAGAAACTTACCTCTTATTTAAATAGTATCAATACTAGGTTAAACATGAGCGGCGTGGAGAGAATGGAGTAACATAAAGTTAAGTGAGATGGACTCAATCAATTTGTGATTTGACGATAGCATTTCACGTCTTTCCTTCAGGCTTTTTAACTCAGTAACCATAGAAGCAGGTTCTCAGCGAGAATTCTTGCGCGTGACCTACCGTTCAAGTGCATGCGCTGGTCTGAGAACTCAATTAAGCCCAGAAAATCAAGCTTCAGTGGCAGCCAAGTTGGAGGTTTGCAGTTGGTTTAATTTTGTAAGAAAATTTGCATCGCTTGTGAATGAGAGATATTTTTACATTTAACTTAGTCGTGTAGGAAAAAAAAAAACAAATGGCATGAAAATAAGGAAAGAGATGAGAAGTATTTGCAAACCTATATCTCAATACTAACTTACAAATTTCTGCAAAAGTACTACTGAAAAAGTTTCATCAAGTGCAAAAGCTGCATGGTTGCCATTCTTAAGTTTATGAGGATCTGGGATTGTTTAATCAATAACTGACATGTGAAGGTATTTTAGCTATGATATTTTATGTTCAGTGTTACGCACGTTACAGAAATCATGGAATGAACAACCAAAAGAACTTAACAAGCTATGGGTGCTTTCGATTGAGAAGTCTCGATTTAGATTTCAAAAATCCCGATTCTTCACAAACTGAAAAGGCAAAATTTGAGCGTTTGTAACGGTACAACTTTTTTTTTTGTTGTAACCAACGTTACGTTACATAATTGATAGTACAGAGTGGACATTTCGAAAGTTCTTGCTGTTTGAAAATTTAAGAGTCGCATACAAACTCCATGGGTTAGAAATCAGGGTTAAATTATATTTGATAAAGTAAGCATTAGATCTAAGAACTGCTTCAGTTTTCGACGAAAGTCTCTTTAAGATGCGAACGTTCATCAAAGAGCCAGATTTCACGCACTCATTCCTTATCGAATACCTCATTGTATTATCATTATCTCATTGTAATTCTTTTTGGTGTTGCATGCTCCATCACTCAGAAACGTTGTCAAAAAAAAAAACGCACGATGGGAAGGTTTTGTCAAAACTGATTGCACTCAACCTTCTGCAGAGTTATAAAAGGCTGACAGAGTAATGTGTGCACATGTCCTGCCCTAACCCTAAGCATCAATGCCTCTCTAAGTCGAGGGAGTACTACCGTTATCGCCAGACACAACACTAATTGTATTAATTTTTTCGAAAATGACCGTCAAGAGTGACCCGTGAAATTGTTATCGTTTCGGCGAATCCTTGGTGAGTCATGTCCAGAAAGTTTCCAAACGCAGTTGAAGTTGCAAAAAATATACCTTAAGATTTTACCGTAAAGTTTCCACTCTTAAACGTAATCAAGGGAAACTTATGTTTTGTTTAGTGGAAGGATGATACACTTAACTGGATAACAACACTATTTTACGGCCGACCTCTGTTCAAGGTCGTGCGAGCTCGTAAGAATTGCATGTAACGTGCAGACAGAATTTGGGATAGGTTTCGACTTCAGTTATGGGATTTGTGATTAAATTGTAAAAAATGGCGTAATCTTTCATATACCGGAATCGAAGACCAAAATTTCCGCACAGCCCCATACTATTGTTCAACAAATTTTTTTTTCCCAATGGCAATGTATTGTTTTTGTCATTGTTTCTCTATCCAAGAACTGAATGCATAATGTAGCATGGGGCTATACTATGCTATGCATAAGAGCCACGAAATAAGGTTAAATGATGATTTTTATAGGTATTTTAGAGTATCATTATTCAAGGCCTGAAAGTGGTGACTTTAATTTCGTCAGTTGAACAAATAACTATGAATATTCAAATGGAAATATTTTCCTTCTGATACAGTACTTTATTACAGTGGACAAGAAAAAACACAACTGTCTATTCAATCCATGATGATCCTTAGATCCTAGATGAAATTGCTCAATTGGGATTTTTATTCTTAGACGTTAGCAGGGGAACTGACGCTTTGTTTAAACAGATCAACATCACTCTCATGTGGAAATGAAAGATAAGATTCATAACTGGATAGCAACAACTTTCTAAGGATAACCTTTGTTCGAAGACGTGTGAGTTTCGTGCGAACTGCGTATAATTTAGAGTGAGAATTTGTGAATGATACGTTTCGATGTCAGCCGTAAAATTTGTGATAAAATGGTGAAAAAGTAGGTTGTCTCCCATATACCGGAATCTGCAAAATCTTTAAAAAGCATGATTGAAATCGATTACAAATAAATTATTTAAGCAACATGTCTTCCCCTATCCGCCATCGAGCAGATGCCGTAAGATGCTGAAGATCTTCTCTTTGATTCTAGAGAGTTTTCGTTCGGTGCGTTATTTCAAAAGAACCCTCAATCCTCTCCATCTGACTATTTGTTTTGAAAACCGAAAACGCATTTATCTTATGACTATATTTTGCTCTCTGTGACTATATATGCTATAAATGGCTCATAGATAATCACTTGTTTATGCATAAGGGCAAAGCGGAGTATATGTTATTTGGCACTGGCCTCAGGCTGGCACTTTTTACTTCTTTCTGTAGCTATGAAAAAGCAATTCATCACGCTTCTGAGTATGAACATGTTGGGTTTTTCTCGATGCGTCGCTTACGTGGAATGTGCACGTTGAAAACTTTATCGGTAAGGTTAGGAAGAGATTAGCAATGTTAGGCCGACTCGGGAAAAACATTAAAATGTACACTGCAAGTAGCGTTTATACGTTGTTTGTTCTCCTATTCTGGATTACTACGACGCTGTGTGGAGCTGTTGCGGGATTGTTAACGCTGATAAGTTGGAAAAGTTGCGGAGGCGCGCTGCTCGTATTGTTATGCGTCTGGAGAGCAGCGAGAAAGCGATAAATTTCTTAGGTTACGTAACTCTGGAGGAAAGGCGCGAGAGCCATGTCAGCAATTTAGTTAAGAAATGCTTAAGCAACCGTTGCCCATAGTTCTTTATGCACCAGAACAACAAGAAGCAGTGGTAAACTTAGACTTCCGTCTATAAAGTTAAAATGTACAAAAAGACCTTTTCATTATGGCTGCCGTAATTTTTAATCAGTTTAAGATTTTTATGATTTTTCTTGTGATTTAATTTTTAATCAGACCCAAAGAAATCAATCCGTCAATTGTTAATAAGCAGTGTGTTGTTTACAATTTTTCATGTGATCTGTGCGATGCAGATTATGTCAAGTATACAGCCCGACACCTTCATCAACGAATTGCTGAACACAAAAATTCGGCAATCGGTAGACATTTCTTAGAAGCTCATGGTAAAAACAACCTTTTGAGAGAAAGCCAATTCACGGTTTTAAGAAAGTGCCAGAGCAAATTTGATTGCTTAATATTTGAAATGCTCTTCATCAAGAAACTTAAGCCCAATTTAAATATTCAGACGGACTCCATACGTGCGAAACTCTTTGTTTGATATTTTCTCAGGTTACAATTTTTTAATCAGCTATTGTTGTTTTTTAGTATTTAAAGACCAAAAATCACTAACTTATTTTGACTTGATAATGACGTTCAGCCAACGTCGAAACGTCGTCGCTTTTTCGCAATTTTTTTTAATCTTGAAATGATTTTAAGAAATGTTTTATCGCAATTTTTTATAGTGAAATGCTTTTCAAAATCACTTCTTGTTCGTATAAGTCCTTTGTATAATATTTTATAGCT